CAAATTTGTCATTTTGAGTTTTCTTTGTAAATTTTTTACTTGTTTTCAAAAACGCGTTTTTGAAAATGGGAAAGAGAACGCGTTTTCACTGTTTTGAAAAATCGAAAACAGAAAACGACTTGAAAATAGTAAAGAGAACATGGCCTAAGTTTTTGGAGATGGGTTTTGGTTTGGAATCATTTGGGATGTTATGGGAAGGATTGAATGTTGTTTGAAAGTTTTGGACTGATTTGCATTTTTAAAAAAGTTTAGGAGCAGATTACAATTTATTCTTTATTTATTTTTTCTTTTCTTTTTTGTTTTATTTGTATAAAATGATATATTGGTCATTTTATGTTAAAAATTGGTGAAAATGAGCTTCAGCGCAAAAAAAATGTGAAAGGTATGAACGTTCTGCACCAAAAAAGAAAGGTAGGGACGTTTTTCACAAAAATTTTCAAAGTAAGAACGTTTTGCGCCAATCACCCTAATCTTAAAATAAATTGTTCATAAACATTTCTCAACATTCAAACACATGATACAATTACAGTGTTGGAAAAAATCAGCGAAATTTGAACATAAGAAAAATTGAACTTGACCTAGTGGGTGCATGGGGTCACGTGGGGTCACTGACTCAATTGTTCGCCAAAAATTGAATTTCCGATCTTCTTCCACTTGCTTTGTACGGTGAACGATTGCCTCCTCACCTACCCAATGTATTGAAACACTACTATAAAAGATATTTCAAAAATAAAAAAAATAAATAATAATTTAATTTTTGCCTTCATAATAAAAAAAAAATATATTTCTGGCCACTTGCTTGAGCCGTACATGTGTCATCTTGCATTTTCGATGGTGGAACGTTAAGATTAAGGAAAATAGAGATTGTAGGTACGATATTAATAATTTGGTTTTTTTGTGTATGAGTTAGTCATGGAGCACCCTCCCTTCGACCTTTAAGTCGTAAGCTTAGGTCTTCAAGTAATTTACATTAATAGGATAAGTATCAATGTGTCATACTTCGTTCCTCGACATTTAAAAATTCGTTTCCAAATTTTTGGTATTTTCGACTTATTTTTG